ACATGTACAGCAGCCTTTTACAGGCCAACACATAAACTACTGTTCTTTTTTTAAACCTCCCACTCAGTGACAAAAGATAAGCCTCAACGCTACCAAACCCCAGTTATTTGCAAGGCTGTTGTGCATCATCACTCGGAAAATCTGTGATCTTCAACATACATACTTAGAGTGAAAGTGAGACAAATGTCCCTGATAACTGGTGGAAAGCATTAAGACACCCTTAATCTCACTAAAAGTGAAGAGCGCACTGACACCATTCATTTCAATTTGATGTTGGAGGTTAGAGTGCATGTTGTATGGCTTCGCTAAAGTCAGTGTTCAGGAAAAAGGAAGTTCTGGCCAAATTGCACTCATTTATTTCTTTATGTGCCATTTGTGTTGACGGATGGAAGTGGTGTAGTCTCCATAAACCCGGTGTAATCGTTTGATCACCTGAACTCCAGACAAGAGCAGTACATCAGCCTGACTTAATAATTTACTTAGCTGGAGAGAGAACGTTGGCCACTGTTGTCAGGAATGACTTATGCATCCATAGGAAAGCAGGATGGCGTCATCATCACAGCCAGACTGTGGAATCTCCACTAGTGACCAACTGTTCAGCCATACATCGCTTTGCATGTGGATTAGTTTAAGGAAAGCCATCAAAGCCATGCAAAGCTGCATTTTAAAATGATTATCATCACATTTAAAAAAACAAATGCTGTGTTTTTAGTTTATTTGCTAACTTTTGAGCTTTTTCTTCGCTCTCTTTGCTGATGCTTAGCCACACTCTGCTAAGGCTTGCGACGCGCTGCTCATAGTAGTGCAAGTAAGAGTCCTGCATTCAAAGAGTTGCACAAGTATTATCAGTAAATGTACCTAAACTGTCAAAGCAAGCCTTTCTGTTGTGCTTCTGGTGTTTAATATATGATTAACATGGAAGATTAATTTGAATCGTAGAATTCATTAAAGCGTGTAAAGTAGCGAGTAAATCTACTAGTAAAGTAAAGGAAGAACTGTGGCTCAGACCTCCAAGCAACAAGTTTCAAACGTCTCTTATCATTTGAAGCCTGTTTGAATTGTTAAATTGAAGTTTGACTCTCCTCACGTTCACAGGCCATCCACTCCAAGAAGCTAGAGTAAAACAGCAAAATAAAGTTGGACAAACATTATCCAAAAACGCAACTTGGGCAATGTAATGTAATTAGAACAAACATTACTGTGATGTATTTGGCCCAGCTGAAAGGTTGTGACTCAGTTCTCCTTTCTTTACTGGGAAACTGCTGAGAACGCCAGAAACAAACTGCACAACAGACGTAATAATGGATGATATATCGCTGTGGATAACCTAGTGGTCATTTACCCGTTGCTCACAACATCAAGCTGCAGCTTTTATGTGTGACATTTTAAAATGGGAACAGAACAGTGACGTTCTTTTGTGTCGTGTGCTTAGTGCGGTGATTAAAAAGGGGAATCTTGTTTTTGATAAGTTTGTGTAGCAACAGTTGCTAAGGGGTTATGGAAAGGGGGGAATGGCAGTGTGATGTCCAGATGTTGGCAGCTGGGAATACAGCTGTTTGTTTTTTTTGACTCATTACATTTGTAATTTTTTTTTTAATTATTTATTGTTAATCTGTTTCATTTAAGGTTGTCTCTTGCTCTGGGTAATGACTCATTTGGGTACTTGGGTTCATGTCACTTCCAAAGTTGTATCTGTTGTCTGTACATGCCAGACATGAGCTGCTTACCAGTTAAGGGCAGAGTGAAGGAAGTATGAAGAGCCAACTTGTTGACATGCTTCTATTTTCCAGGGGCAATGAAGTGGTTCCTTCCCACAGAGCCACATGTGTCTGACATAAGTGTTCACCAAGAAAAAACTGTTTCAACGCTATTTTTTTATTTTATTTTTTTTAAATTGGTGCACTTCCTACAGCAAACCTTGCATGTGTGGCATGCCTGCTGACTTTTACAAAGTGTAAGACCGTAGTGCAGCTGGCATCTGTTAAATGTGCCAGGATGTGTTTACATGTCCACAGCAAAAGTGCATCTCTTATTATTGACAAAATATTCAGACAGACGTTTGCCGTGTTTCCACTGACTGTATTTCTAACTTCAAAGGCTGTAAAGATTCTGGTTTTGATATTGTAATGAGTTCAAACCGGAGTGGCCTCTGCTTCTGTTTAACTAGCTCATATTTCAGACTGCCGTCTGTCAGAGCAGCCTAGCTGTCCTCCTCTTTTCATGAAGCTGCATGTCCCTTTTACAGTTTAGTAAAATGCTTGCAATTTACAGCTACAATGTCTCTACCTCTCTATACTTATGGCAGTCATTCTAATAACTTCATAAATTATTTTCCAAACCAACAATAGAAAATGAAACCTTAAGGAGACAGCTTGGTGTCATCACTGGTTTCAGTTTCCTTTCTTGTTTTAAATGCTTTGTGGTTGATTCAATGAATTTACAAAAGAAAAAACAGTTTGTTTTTGCTTTCTAGAAACACTGAAACAAAAATATTTTTAATTTTATAATAGGAATAGTTTCCATAAATGTATTTGGGGAAATGGGTAATGTTGGTATTTAGAGATCGCTTTGCTGCTGCAGCTTCTGTTAAATAAAACCAAACCTAAACTTTGGCGCCACAAACCTGCCTGAAAATCCATCATCCGTGTGCCGTGATGACTTCGCTGCAGCATAGACAGAATTGGTCTTGTTTTAAGAAGTAATGTCGCTAGGAAAGAAAGGTTTTCGTTGTGGCCAGGCTTCTCACAGTTTGGATGACGAGCCTGTAAAACGGAAAGCAAAGTCGTAGCAGTTGGCTTCCTGTTAGGATCAGAATACTTTTGTTTTCTTGTCTTGTTGGTTAGTGTGTGTGCGTGTGTGTGTAAACTGGTAAATGGTCCTGTCTCTACTCATGTTGTTTCCTCAGTTTCTTGTGTTGCTGGAGGTTTGTTTTTGTTTTTTCTCGGTATGTTGTTTTCTTTCTAAAATTAATTTAAATCTAGCATGTGGACTCTGACGACCTTCAGCAGAAGGATGTGGTGTGTTGTGTAAAATAAAACATTTACTGTCCACACTGGTGTGTGTGTCTGTGTGTGATGTCTTAATATCATGAATGTATCATAAATGATCAAACTGCTTGCTCCCACCTGTTCTCTGGACAAGAAGCCCAGAATTGCTATAATTAGAACCAGGTGTTTATTACTCAGAAGTCACATGACATTTGACAAAGATTTAAACAGTAACTAGAGATGAAAGACCATCTCTACCAGCACAACACAAAGACCTGAAGTTGAAGGCAGAAGCTAATTCACTGTTGTGAACAAGTATTCTTATTGATTTTTAAACATTTCAAATCAGGCAAAAAACTATTATTTCATTTGTGAAATCAAACAAGTTCTGTATAAACATACCAGGTCATATATGGAAAAGTAGTTAACCCTCTAGATCAAAAAACAAAAACACAGTTTCAGTGCGTTTTTAAAAAACGGATCAATCAGAAATGAGCTCATTAACCACATTTTTGGAAATCTCCGTTCAGTTTTGCCAATTCACGCCTGATTGCGTTTTTTTGGTATTCATTTTGCACAACGTATGCCACGTTATTGATAGGTATATTATTATTATTTTTATTGTATTCTATTTTATTCTATTCTTGTGCACTCTTTTTTTCTTCTTTTCATCTTGCTGCTGTGAGCACGCTCATGATAAAAGAATTTCCCTCAGGATAAATAAAGTGGGCTAGTTTACGGTCCAGTTTTCCGGCTGCACTCCCAGCTCAGAACCACACACCGCTCTCCTCTCTGGCCTCGGAAACAACCTCAGAAGGGGGAGACACTGGATGGAGGCCAGGTGTGTGGGTCAAGCTGCCCTGACACCAAACTTCTCACCCACTCCTCCGTCCCTTACTTGCAGTTGAGCAAATGACCAAATAAGCTGCATCTGGAGTGAATGGAAATGGATGTGGGCCAGCCTACATAAATAACTTCAAGAAGACATCAAAAAACTCACCAAGGAGGTCACAAAAGGAGGCCGGGGCAAACAATGGGAAGAAACCAACCATCCTAGTACTGATTATCCTGCAGGGACGTCTCATGGGAGTCTGGGGTAGTTTAAACACATCACCAAACGATCACAGGGAAACACCAGGGACACTTTTTAAAAATATTTCTTTTTAGCTTTTATTGTTCTCGTCATCATCACATGAGCATTGTACAGTAAATTTGGAGCAGTGTATGTTTCAACTAGTGGATTAGCATAGACACACATTCTTAAGGTCTTTCCCTCATCATTCATTCCACAGAATCAAATAGAAAATATAATAAGATAGCAAGTATACTAAAAACTACAGATTTATTCTGATTTTATTGTTTGTTTCTTACTGGCACAAATGTTCCTCCATACATAAGGTTCAGCTCCTCCATGGAGGGAAGAGTGCACATTGCTGTGACATAAAGAATAACTAAAGGAGTCTTTGGGCCACATTAAGAAAAAATATCGATAATTTTTAGAATAAAGTCGAAACTTCGAGATTAAAGTCGTAATTTTATTTCAAAAAGAAGTTTGAAACGTTGAAGTAGTTGTTTCAAGACAAACTGCCACAGCTGCTCTGACTTGGCGAAATCATTCTTCAGAGTCTGTTTTAGTGACAAGGACACGTGAACACAGTGATAAACACAGATACGTTAAAAAGAGCTGCATCCAGAGCTGCATCTGGTCAGAAGGAAAAACACAAACTTGGAAGAGTTGATTTGTATAAAATGTCTAGTAGTGTTCGGGTCGTGATCTTATAGAGATGATGGAGCCAAGTAAGTATTTGGAAGTTCCATAACTTTCCAAAAGCTCATCCCCATTAACTGGTAAAAATAAATGTATACACACATAATTAGGTAGTCTATTTAAATAGCCCCCGGGTAGTAGTGTGGAAACTCCGGAGGATGACGACATCTAAGACTACATAAGCTGAAAGTGAAAGTAAAGATGCCAGAATGGATCAGCACCTCTCCAAGGCGAGGTAGGCTGCAGAGAGCATTCTGCATTCTAAATGTGTGTTCACTGTGTGTCGCTGAAATGTGCCGTCTTTAGCTTTTCTGAGAAATCGCTTTTGCATGTCTTAGTTGGACTGTGGTGACAGAGGACAGAAATGTGCTTGAGCTGTGGTACAGAGGTGCTGTCAAGTTATCTTGTGCTCAGCGTGACGGACCAAAGTAATGTGGAATTTGCGCAAAGGGGAGACTCAGACATACAATGTGTGCGCTGTCAGCAGACCATACCTGTGTTCAAGGTCAGCTGTTTCTCATGTATGACACACACACACACACGGGAGCGCGAGGAGCAGGGGAGCAGGAGGGGAAGGGGTAAATCCCGTTGCCGTTCACCGTCAATGATAGAAAACACGTAGAAAGGATATCGGTGGGTATTATAACTACCAGCATGATTATCGCTTCCCACGTGACGCACATACGTGGTGAACTTGGTCACCAGCATTCATGCTTCTGCTGCATGTTTCCCGTGTTCGAACAATCAGTTTGGGGTCATATCCAAGCGGTTAAAGCAGTAAAATCCTGGCACCTCAGCCCCGTTTGTGCCGCGAGTTTCCCCACGTCCTTTCCATTCTTGTTGTTTCCGTTGTCTCCCTGGAGGAATTTGCTGGCCGCTTTGAGTCCTCATGTCAAGACAATGATTAACAATCACTCAGTGATACATTAAATACGAGCAGGGAAAAGTACTTTTCTCTTGTTGCCGAAACTTGGTCATCAGCCAAATTGGTGGCATTGGTGGTGAAACTGGGTGCGATGGAGTTTGTCAAACGCACGGTATCAACTGATTAGCTGCAGTCCCTTTGGCAATGAGAGTTGCGGCCAGGAGCTCAAATTGCTAGGAACAGTAATAAAAACATATTCTTAGTGACCAAACAGGATTGGGTTGATTACAGTGTTGCACACAGAACAGGTATGATAACACAGAACAAACAATTGCGTTATTATTTATAATAATATTTATTTAACAGCTGATTTTTTTCCCTTTGTGAATGGAAATGATCTTTAGACAGATATCTGGCATGTCCAGGGTAACGTCCCCCCTCCTTTCGTTATGGTGCGGTCTGTGTCACATAGCACACAGTTTTTCTTCCTGTTGCAGCCTTGTAGGAACTGACTACTGCTGTTTACAGAGTGCTCTGCTGTAATTAACGTGCTAAGCATTTGAAGGAAGGCTCCTCGACTACTCTGAGTAGATTTATTCAATTATCTGTAGAAAAGCACAGTGAAGACCATTTTTAGTTATCAGCAAAAGGTCAAAATTCACCATATAGTAGAGCTGCAGGCTATGCTGGTGGGGAGGAAAAGGGATTTTTAGATTTCAGTCATTGCTTCTGAAATTTTTTTAAACGCCGTAACCAAGTAAGAAATTTCAAAATAAAGTACAGCTGTTGTGAAACAAGGTTTAATTTTAATATTCTGTCCCAAGTAAATTTTATGTAGGTGTAAATGAGGATTCTTCAGCTGATCTTTGCTTGTTTAAGAACAAAAGTTTATGTGATGATCGTTTAAAACCCCTCAAACCAAAGTTGGGACTGATCTTTGCCAGTTACCGATCTGATTTACACAACAGAACAAGGAAAAAAATGTTTAAACTGAGACATTTCACTCATTTTATTTATATAGAAAAAAGAGCTCATTTGGAAATCGATAACTACAGCGTGTCTCAAAATTGTTTGGACAGTGTCACATTTACCACAGTATAGCATCTGCTCCTCTTGTAACAACAGGCTGGGAACAGAGGAAGCAGATGCTGGAGATGAATGTTTGAGGAGTCCTGGAGGATTCTAGCTGCTCAGGAGTCCTGGGTCTGCTTTTATACGTTTTTGGTTTTATGACGCTTCAAATGTTTTGAGGTGGTAAAAAGTCTGGACTGCAGGCAGGCTGTTCTTCTACTATGATGTCATGCTGCTGTAACAGATGCAGTGTGTGTGGTCTAGCATTATCTTGCTGAAATATTCAAAGCCTTCCCAGGCGTCACTGGATGGGAGGAGATGTTGTTCTGAAAACCTGCATATATAGCTTTCAGCCTTTGTTCATTTATAAGGAACCCCATTAGCTTCCACAACAGTGGTTGCCAGTCTTCCTGGGGCCCAAGCCATGAAATAGAATCAAATAAAATATTAAGCAATAAAGTGGATGCAAAATATCCACATAATTTGGCTCTTACATCCACAGTGAGGTTTCACAATTTGGAAAATGTGAGCATATAAATATTAATAACTCTGAGACAAAATACACAAATTTCTATTACAAATCACATCTCCCTCTTACAATATTTACAACAATTAAAAGCTGCCTAAATAGGCTTTTAAGTGCCATCCATCCATCCATTCACTTCCGCTTATCCTTTTCAGGGTCGCGGGGGGCGCTGGAGCCTATCCCAGCTGTCATAGGGCGAGAGGCGGGGTACACCCTGGATAGGTCGCCAGTCTGTCGCAGGGCTTTTAAGTGATTTTTGAAATTATGAATAGAAGCTAATTCTCTAATTGCATTAAATATAACAGAGTTTTTCAAAAAGTTGCTTTTAACTCGAGGAATTACTAAATTGCGGTTTGTTAATAATCAGTATGATTATGTATTTTATCTGGATGCTGCAACTGAGCAGAAAAAAATGTGGTGTGTTTAACAGTATTGCTTTCTTTAAAAATACAACTAAGCCACAGTATAATTTAGCTTGTACAGGAAGCCAGGAAAGTTTATCATGCATTTTATTTGATATTTGTATAGTATGAACACCTTAACACTAATCTGGTCGCCTTGTTCTCGACTAACTGAAGTCTGTTCAGATCTGTCTTATTAGCTGCTGACCAAATGATGGAACAGCTATGGAAAGATTTAGTTGTGGGCTGTTGACTAAGCGTAATCTACTTCCAATTAACATAGATTTGGATTTAGATACATTTAAAATCATGTTGTTTTTACTTATCCAGCCAAACACATTCAACAAATCTTCTTGTGATACGTCTATGGTGCCATTCAACCCCCACACCCCATCAGAGATGCAGACTCGTGATGTGTGGAGTGCAGAAACAATAAAAACAGCCTTTAGTCAAAACCCTGACAGTGAGGACATTTGTAGCACAGTAACACATTGATGCTAAGTAAAACAAACGCATTAACATTTCGTGGCGCGTGGTGCTGTGGATCCCAATAATGAATGCCTTGATTTACTCTGTCATTAATTTGTATGCAGTGATTTACCAGCACAGAGACAAATGTTAGAGCTGTTCATGAACTAATTAACACTGATTAACACTAATCAACATTGATCACCTTATTATACTGAGCACAGGGGCGGTCCTAGCCTTCAGTGAGAGACTGAGGCCGTATCCCAATTCAGGGTCTGCAGCCTTAAAGGCCGCATTTTAAGGCCGATTACGTCACAGCGACGCGACGAAGGCTGTCCCAATACAAAGTCTGCTCGAAATGCGTCCTTCATTTCTTTAGTCTCAGATGACTTTAGTCTCATGAACAACATTAGCTGATTGTTATTTACTAGCTAATCTTAAATGACTGTTCAGTACAGAAATGAAGCCCAACAATCATGTTTACAGTCCTGTGGTCTCAGCCTCAGATACTTATCAAATCAAAGCTCATGTAGAAACAAACAAACAAATGAACAAAAGATTTTCTCCTTTATTTCTGTCAAACACAGCTGTATGAAAGGTTTCCAGCTGTTAGTATCATGGTTGCTAGGCAACCTGGGCAGGCTAGACCGTCCCATTTCACAAGCCTCCCACTTCCGGCCTTAGTGGTCTTTGAGTACGCGGCCCTTGTGGACCGTCAAGGCTGCGTACTTTAAGGCTGCAGACCCTGAATTGGGATACAACCTGAGATTACCAAAAAGCACCACTGAATGACACAGGAAGTCATTCCTGCCCATGGCCATCTCCCTGTACAGCTCCTCCATCTAACACACTGTAAAAACTGCAATGGTTACATCCTTTTTACACACGCTCTTTTCTACTCTGTAATATTCTTGTCAATTTTCTTGATCTTTATTTATAATCCCCTCTGTTAATCCTTCATAATTATAATTGAGTTATCTGCATATATTAGTGCTATTTCTTAAATGTGTAACATCTGTAACATAATGTATTGGTTGGAGTTTAGTCTGTTACTGTTACTATTTTTAGAATTTCTTCTTGGAGCAACTGTAACCCACATAATTTCCTTCGGGATTAATAAAGTATTCTGATTCTGATTGTTTCAGGATGAGCTGCCATTATCCAATCACACATCTGCTTACCTGCATCTTTTGCTCGTTTCTCTTCCTCTTCTTTTCTCTTTTTTCTAAACTGAGCACCTGATGGCTTTGAACTTGTCTTGTCCATCTTCCATTGGTTTTAATTTTGCACTCCAGTATGAACACTCATCCCCCAACCCGAGGATCACCACAACATAACCTAACAACCCTACACCTTAGTTCACAGATTCACTTTGTCTTTATTTCTGGTATTTTGCACAAATCAGGATTCAAATCATGAATACATGATGGGCTTGGATTTACATTATAAATGAAATGTGCTCTGTTTGGAAGCAGCCAGCCCCTCCCCTTTCGACGGGTTGTGTGTGAGACTTTAAATCATCAAACTGTAAATTATGAATTTTAAATTGTTATTGATCCTTTACCCCGAGTCCTAAAGTGTATATTTATTTTCTTACTCTTCTTATATTTATTGTTTGTTTACTTGCACTGCTGTAACTGGAGCCTCATTGTCTCGTCTCTCTATATACTGGACTGTATGTACAGTAGCGGAGATGACAATAAAGTTTACTTTGACTTCAGCAGCGAGCAGGCACACCGAGGGTTGCCGATGCCTGTGATGCCGCCCTGGGCAACCGCCCATGTCGCCAATATCAAAAAGCACTACTGATTGAGCAAACTACAAGTAACCACTAGTATGTTTCACATATCTGCTTTTTTATGTGTGTAAAAACAAAGATAAACTATCATTAGAAAGTGTTGTGAAAGCAAGAGTCCTGCCAGAGCGCGTCGACTGCTTGGCAAAGTACTTAGAAGCCAGTCCTGTCATGTGACATAAAACAATGATAATAATGTACAGTCATGGCCAGTAGTTTTGAGAATGACACAAATATTAGTTTTCACAAAGTTTGCTGCTAAACTGCGTTTAGATCTTGTTTCAGTTGTTTCTGTGATGTACTGAAATATAATTACAAGCACTTCATACGTTTCAAAGGCTTTTATCGACAATTACATGACATTTATGCAAAGAGTCAGTATTTGCAGTGTTGGCCCTTGTTTTTCAGGACCTCTGCAATTCGACTGGGCATGCTCTCAATCAACTTCTGGGCCAAATCCTGACTGATAGCAACCCATTCTTTCATAATCACTACTTGGAGTTTGTCAGAATTTGTGGGTTTTTGTTTGTCCACCCGCCACTTGAGGATTGACCGCAAGTTCTCAATGGTGGTGGTCAGAGGGCCCGGTGGCGCCAGTGTCCGGCAGCCTCGCCTCTGTCAGTGCGCCCCAGGGCAGCTGTGGCTACAATGTAGCTTGCCATCGCCAGTGTGTGAATGTGTGTGTGAATGGGTGAATGACTGAATGTAGTGTGAAGCGCTTTGGGGTCCTTAGGGACTAGAAAAGCGCTATACAAATGCAGGCCATTTACCATTTATGATTAAGATCTGGGAGTTTCAGGTCATGGACCCAAAATTCAATGTTCTGTTCCTGAGCATTACAGGGCAAAAAAGTATTTAGTCAGCCACCGATTGTGCAAGTTCCCCCACTTAAAATGATGACAGAGGTCAGTAATTTGCACCAGAGGTACACTTCAACTGTGAGAGACAGAATGTGAAAAAAAAATCCATGAATTCACATGGTAGGATTTGTAAAGAATTTATTCGTAAATCAGGGTGGAAAATAAGTATTTGGTCACCTCAAACAAGGAAAATCTCTGGCTCTCACAGACCTGTAACGTCTTCTGTAAGAAGCTTTTCTGTCCCCCACTCGTTACCTGTATGAATGGCACCTGTTTGAACTCATCATCTGTATAAAAGACACCTGTCCACAGCCCAAACAGTCAGACTCCAAACTCCGCCATGGCCAAGACCAAAGAGCTTTCGAAGGACACCAGGAAAAGTATTGTAGACCTGCACCAGACTGGGAAGAGTGAATCTACAATAGGCAAGCAGCTTGGTGTGAAAAAATCAACTGTGGGAGCAATCATCAGAAAATGGAAGACATACAAGACCACTGATAATCTCCCTCGATCTGGGGCTCCACGCAAGATTCTCATCCCGTGGGGTCAAAATGATCATGAGAACGGTGAGCAAAGATCCCAGAACCACACGGGGGGACCTGGTGAATGACCTGCAGAGAGCTGGGACCAAAGTAACAAAGGTCACCATCAGTAACACACTACAACGGCAGGGAATCAAATCCCGCAGTGCCAGACGTGTTCCGCTGCTGAAGCCAGTGCATGTCCAGGCCCGTCTGAAGTTTGCCAGAGAGCACATGGATGATACAGCAGAGGATTGGGAGAATGTCATGTGGTCAGATGAAACCAAAGTAGAACTTTTTGGTATAAACTCAACTCGTCGTGTTTGGAGGAAGAAGAATACTGAGTTGCATCCCAAGAACACCATACCTACTGTGAAGCATGGGGGTGGAAACATCATGCTATGGGGCTGTTTTTCTGCCAAGGGGACAGGACGACTGATCCGTGTTAAGGACAGAATGAATGGGGCCATGTATCGTGAGATTTTGAGCCAAAACCTCCTTCCATCAGTGAGAACTTTGAAGATGAAACGAGGCTGGGTCTTCCAACATGACAATGATCCAAAACACACCGCCCGGGCAACAAAGGAGTGGCTCCGTAAGAAGCATTTGAAAGTCCTGGAGTGGCCTAGCCAGTCTCCAGACCTCAACCCCATAGAAAATCTGTGGCGGGAGTTGAAAGTCCGTGTTGCTCGGCGACAGCCCCAAAACATCACTGCTCTCGAGAAGATCTGCATGGAGGAATGGGCCAAAATACCAGCTACTGTGTGTGCAAACCTGGTAAAGACCTATAGTAAACGTTTGACCTCTGTTATTGCCAACAAAGGTTATGTTACAAAGTATTGAGTTGTATTTTTGTTATTGACCAAATACTTATTTTCCACCCTGATTTACCAATAAATTCTTTACAAATCCTACCATGTGGATTCATGGATTTTTTTTTCACATTCTGTCTCTCACAGTTGAAGTGTACCTCTGGTGCAAATTACTGACCTCTGTCATCATTTTAGGTGGGGGAACTTGCACAATCGGTGGCTGACTAAATACTTTTTTGCCCCACTGTATCAACTGAAAGCCCAGGATATCCTCTGTTTATTACTGTCAGGGCTCTGTGTGTAGGCTGGTGGAAATGTGGATCCAAATGCACCACAAAGGCAGGATATGAGGGTACGAGACAACAACAAGCACAGGAAAACACAGGGCTTATAAACACAGGGTAGTAATGAGGGAATGGGCAACAGGAGGGAGACACAGCTGGGAGAGATCAGGGCTAACGAGACAGGGGGAACAAAGCTGCACACACTAACATAAGACAGACTTTCACAATAAAACAGGAAAAACTACTCAAAGACACGGACTCAACACAGAGGGGCGGACAGAAAATAATACATGAAACTCAAACAATACATGAGATCATAATTCCTAAAACATGGATAAACAGAAACATAAAGCTCTAATAATAAACATCATAATCATCATCATCAACACCAGCACAACAAGAGAACAAGAAAACAATCCATGATGCAAAATTAAACCAAAACATAATAAACTCAAAGTACTGGGTCCAACAGGCCCAGAACTGTGACAATTACATCAGGACTTAGTGTAGCACAGATAAGTCAAAAGATGTAGACCAAAAACAAACACCCATTACAGAGGACATAAATGAATTGGCTGGTTTTCAGGAGTCTATCCCACAAATCAAGTCAAAATAACTTTGAAGGCATCAAAGAAGAAAACACAAAAAAAGTCTTTACTCAGGTAATATTCCTTCTGTGTGAACGCCGCTCATGCAGCTGTGCTGAATTTGTCTAAATGCACATACAAAAAAAATTGCATGAAGTTCAACAGTGCACTGGAAAAAAATCCTCTTTGCTAAATTAAATCTGATAAGCACAAGTTAGTTCATTGCATTTTTAAAGCGACATTGCTCAATACTCATTCAAAAGATTATTATCATTTTGAATGAGCATTTTCTTTTCCAACTTTTATTGAACTTCTGACATTTTAATATGGGGACCACTGGGAATAATCTCAGGGATGTGTCTCCTCCCCTCTCTCGTCCTGGCTGTATCGTCTCTTTGGCTCAGGATTGTATGCCTGTTTCTTCTTCTTCTGCTTGCCTCGGTTCAACTTGGACTCCTTCTTTTGCCTTATCCCCTCTTCCTGGTACACCATCCATACTCACATCTGTTCAGCCTTCCTGATCCCTCGTCCTTGGATGAATTCAGATTGAACATGTGTTTTATGCTTATATGATTAAATGATTATATGATTTAGTTTTGGATGTTAACCGCAGGTTTCAGCCTATACTACAGCCCAATACAACGTGAAATGATACACATGAACTGATTGTTTCTCTGCCCTTCATGTACATTTATGTAAATGCTATTTTTCATGATTTGTGGAGCTGACTACACTTACCTTTAAGCCATTCTCAGAGTGTGACAGTCAGTTGTCTGTGCTAAAACAAGAAATGCCTGCAGTGCATAGCTTTCACAGTGTATACTTAAAAGATGCTCTTGCAGAGCACTCAGAGTCACTTGCTGTTCACAAAAAGAGAATGCAGTTTGGAGAAAAGCTGTGTTGATAACATCATGGGACATATTTAGAGATCATATCAGTGTTATTGTAGCTACTTGGTCAAAGCCCTAAGCTTTAGCTTCTTTTAATAAACAATATTTATCATGTCCAAGACCAACGGCGATCCTCCCTGCGATGGGATGGTGGGAGAGGGAGAAGGCCTCAGATATTGTTGACCTGCCTGTTGATTGTGTCATCTGAGCTTTTGTCTATTAACTGCTGACATTTTACTTTCATGAAATCAGCATCCTCAAAGACAACTAGTTTTCATAATGGACTTCGTATGGCACATCAAATCCTACTTCTTCTCTCAACGACTTTCTAAATGGAAGTCGTTACAACACTGATCTAACCCTGAAGCCTTAACATGTCATCAAGATGATGTTTAAAATGTGAACACTTTGCATTTGCAAAGCACTGGCCACGGAAACAAGTTTTATCGGTTTTGTTTTATTATTGTTTATTATTTAAATCTGTTTAAATCTTCTGTGTGTCTGTGTCCATAATATACCTTTCTCCTGCTTTTTTTTGTTTCACTGTAGTTTGCAAAGATCACAGAGGGCATCATGACGTCACACGGCTGTTTTCTCTGCCTGTTGCTTTTAAGTGTGAGTGTTCTCTTTGCAGTTTTACTCTATTTGCTTTTATATAAGTGCTGTAAAATGTGCTC